TAGATGAAAAAACAAAAACCTAATTCACAGGAAGTTAACTGTCATAAGCCATACTGCCAGCAGGGGGACGAGGCAGGTTGGTGCCAGATGAGTCAGAGACAAAGGGCCCTAGGACTCAGGCAGAATGTCCTGGTACAGCCTACTGGATCTTGAGTCAGGTCCCATGAGTGGATAGAGAACCCTTGACTGGAAGGAAGAGGATGAGGTAGGAGGAGGAGGAAGTCAGGTTTGGACACAAGTCTTTGATGCCAGGGGCCCTGGAGTTTGGGAGCATGACTCCATTCTCAAGAAGGGGGAGAGGAGCATAAGGAACCCACTTCTTAGAAGTGAGGCAAAATTAGAGCAAGACCAGCAGTAAGACCTGTGGGGCCTCTGGGGTGCTTGGCTAGGTCTCTTGTCTTGCTGGACCAAGAGAAAGAGGCCCAGAGTCTCTGATGAGGTGGAATCTGTCAGGGAGGTTAAAGGGCCCCAGTTGCCAAGGCTGATCTGAAACGGGTATGGAGCTTAGTTCACCCAAACATCAACAGATAAATATTCTCTTCTTAGCTTTCATCACGTTCTGCATGCATTGGCCTCAGGAAACACCGCCCCCCCACTCCACCCCACCCAGAGCTCTTGAACTCAAAGAAGCTGTGCTCTCAGGGAAGTGCAAATATTTGCTTATAGCTGTGAAAATAGAGCTTTGCTATTTATGAAAGTCCTTGAGGTACTGTTGTTATTTACTTATCCTACTTGATTTTGAAAAAGAAAAATACTCAGTAAAATTTTCAAAGTGGGTAAACACCACTAGAATTTCTTATGTAAAGTCCTAACTTGGGGTCGCAAAAGCCTTTTTCCCCTTAGTATCTGATCTGGGTGTGGTATGAGATCTCCTCATTTGAGGAGTCAACTTTCATGGAAATCCGTAAATATCTCAATCATGGCTACTGCAAAACTAATTTTGACAGGTCAGATTTTCATATTTTTAGATAAAAATATTAACAATCCTTAGTTAACCAAATACTTCAAGCATTTTGGTTCATGAAGATGTATTTTTTTTAAGTGATCAGACTAAAGATACCATTTATGGGTAAAAATCGAATAAAGTTTTTATTTATTAGTATGTATGGTGTATGTGTGGAGTAAATAAGAATATTTTATAAACAATTACTAACTGAATTTTTTTTTGGTTGATATGAATAAGCGGTATCTGAATAGAAATTAATTTAGGAGGGGAAATTTGAAACATTTCAGTTGATTCCAGGGGGCTTGGATAAACTCACATGCTAAAATTAATCAGATTTGGTTTACAGAATGGCAAAAGTAGACAACTTTTTCCTCCCTAGTGCCTCACTGCCTCTGGGAGCCAACGTTTACCAATCTGTGTGACTTTACAAGCTGTGTGACTGTCATCCTGTCTGACTTGAAGCCTTCCTGCTGGAGGCCTCCTTCTAGGTTTCTGGTTTCTGGTCTAACTTCTCAGCCCTGCCTCTACCAACATCTCCGTGTAGTCTCTGAAGCCCTAACCAATCTTTGTGCTTCTCAAAAATGAGCACGTGAAACTGGGAATATGAGCCAGAGAGCTGTGACTCTTGAGCCCTGGAAAACTTGTCATCATTTAGGTTTTTGGATTTCAATACAAAGATACTATGCCATTGGAAAGGAAAACCTGGGGCTTTAAAGAAATGTGCAGTCACATGAATGGCTTTAGACCATTCTTTCTGGGCCTCCTTAGAGATGGAAGTTCTCACTTCTCAGTCTTACGGATTCTGAGTGGAAAACCTTAGGAAACACAGTCCCATTCCATGGGTTGTACATGTTCTGGAGTCAATCCCGGGTCATGGATCCAAGAGGCAGTTCACCAGCTGAGAGTCAAAATGGGGTTTTGACCTTAACTTCACTGCCGAACCCTCCAATTTTCCTACTGGATCTAATTGGTAATCTTATGCCTGGGCAGCTTGGCCAGGGCCTGGCATCTGCCCAGCGCTCCTTGGCTTGTCTTTCTGCTCCTGGTGCTCTGCTGGGGTGTGGCCTCTGATGGACCAGCCTCCTTTTCACTGGAGCTGTGGCCTTTATGTAAGATCTCAGTCCCCATCCCCTCTTCCAGTGGGCTCATGCCACATTTTCTCTTTCTGTATGCTGTCACATTCAAGACTCTTGGTGATGGGGACTAATTTGGGTCAGGTTTCACCTGCCCCCAGGCTGCCCAGGCTGCCTGATTACTAATCACTCTAGTTTTCACTCTCACATTTGTGTCTGGCATCTGGGGATTTTCCTTTTCTTCTTACCTGCTCGGCTGTCTCCTTTGTTATTGATTCCTGAATGACACTCATGACCTTGATAGCCATGCATGCCCCATCCCTGATAGTCTGCCCAGTGGGTCACAAGTCATGCCAAGTCACACTTGAAAAATACAAAGGTGGAGGGTGAAGCCCTGGGCAAAGACAGAGCAGGGGCGAGGGGAAAGGTGGTTGCAAATCTTAAACACTTGCAGCAGAAACCAGAGGGAAAAATCTGACTGCACAAAGCAAGCTATGACTCTGACCTTAGACAAACAGAATTTTTGTGGGTGAAATTATATTCTTTCACAATAAAAATATAGTAATAGGAACATTTATTGAGTAATTTCCCAGAAATATGGACAGAGTCATAAATAGTTTTGGGACAGTGACAAATTTGTCCAGGTAGAAATGCTGGATTTTTAATTATCAAACTGCATCCCAGTAGAACGTTACATTCCCAAAAAAGGTCACTGTAGAAGCCTGAAAGAAAAACAATACATTACACATTGTTCTGCCTGAGACTTAGACATTAGTAAGGAGTGAGTCTTTGTGAAACAGTGCAATGAATATTTATCAAGTACTTAATTTGTGCCAGACAGGATTCTAGGTACCAGGGCTCCATATCCACGAACAAAACAATAGTCCCTGCTTTCATGAACTAACATCCCAGCTGAGAATGTTACAACAACAAGCAAGTATTTAATACAATGTTAAGCAATGATAGATGCTTGAAAAGAAGTAAAGCAGGGTTCAGGGTATGCATGGTTAGATAACATCGCTGACTCAATGGACGTGAATTTGAGCAAACTCCAGGAAATAGTGATGGACAGGGAAATCTGGCCATGCTGCAGTCCTTGGGGTTGCAAAGAGTTGGACATGACTTAGAGACTAAACAGCAACAAGGTAGGCATGCTACTTTAAAAAGGGTGAATAGATGCTCTTTCTGATAAAGTAACTTGAGTGAAAAGAGTATCTGGGGAAGAATATTCCAGGTAGAGGGAATAGCCAGTTCAAGGGCCCTAAGGCAGGAGGCTCAGTGTATTCAAAGGGCAGTAAGAAGGTCTTGGTGATTGGAGTAAATTCTGAGCGATGGTAAGGGGTTTCAAGGTCACTGTAAGAACTTTGTGATCAGATGAAGATGGTAGGGCATGAGACAAGTTCAGAAATGACACAGATTCACCAATGTTACATACCCAAGCTGTTGCAAATTCAAGTCTGCTACATTCACAGTGGCAATTTGTAGTTAGTGACTGCTGAAAGCAACTTTTTTGTGAACCCAGGAAACATTGTGTTGTGTGTGCACATGCTCAGTGTGTGCGTGCTCAAGTCGTGTCCGACTCTTTGTGACCCCATGGACTGTAGCCCTCCAGGCTCCTCTGTCCATGAGGATTCTCTGCCATTTCCTTCTCCAGGGGATCTTGCCGACCCAAGGGTCGAACTTACGTCTCTGCGTCTCCTGCATTGGCAGGCGGATTCTTTACCACTGAGCCACTTGGGAAGCCCTGTTGAGATTTCTCCAAATCTTTGGTCTTTCTGACCCTGCCCCGTGTGGTCTCATAATGGTGGGCTAGGGGCTGACTTTCCCAACTGCTTGGTCACATGAGCCCAGGGGGCTTTGGGGACAGCCTCTCAGATAATTATCTACATTCCCTGTGTAAATGGAAATAGTAACACTCAGACACATGGGTATCTGGTGAAAATGAGACCATCGGTGATGATATTGGTGGGTGGTAAAGCAGGATGTAAGCCAGAACCTTTAAAATCAGTGACCTATAGGAAGCCTGGGCTTCCCTGGTGGCTCAGAGGTTAAACTGTCTGCCTGCAATGTGGGAGACCTGGGTTCGATCCCTGGGTCAGGAAGATCCCCTGGAGAAGGAAATGGCAACCCACTCCAGTATTCCTGCCTGGAGAATCCCATGGACAGAAGAGCCTGGTAGGCTACAGTCCATGGGGTCGCAAAGAGTCGGACACGACTGAGCGACTTCACTCACTCACTCACTCATAGGAAGCCTAGATGATTTTCTAAAACCTCTTATATCTTGAAATAATGTAGACTGAGACTCAGTCTAATATAAAACAAATAAAAAGCCTTAGTGGTTAAGTGCAAACCAACAAGGCATTTAAAAAATCTAGGTAAGACGTGTGGCAGTTCAGATGGGAACTAGAAATTAGGTTCTAGTAGTGTTATTTCTGGATGATTTTAGAGAATATGTCATCCCAGAAGGTGGTTGGAATTCTCACTAGGAACCAAGGCTGGAGATATGGTGGGTTAGACTAGGCTGCAGCATTGTCACCAACTTCCCTGATTCCAAAGGAAGGTTGCAATAGGGGCTGTTTCTCTGCTGGTCTTTGCATCTAGGGCACCTTGCATAGAGCCAGCACACATATGAACACTCAAGGAATGTTGCTGCTTCACTGCCTGCCAGGAATAATGTATAGAGTGGGGGGAAGGGGTTCCTGAGAAGCTGCCACTCAACTATTACCATACCATATTGATCACTTCCTGGACATTTCACACACCACAGTTTGAGTGATAAAAACCATAGTTATCTTTCTTTGGACTGTGCAACATTTAAAAAAATTGGCAACATTGGGCCCATATTTCTACATAACAGCTGGTCAGTACAGAGTAAGGAAACTTCTCTTTAGAAAAGGTTTGAGTGGTCCAGTGATTAAAAATCCACCTGCCAGTGCAGTTGACATGAGTTCGATCCTTGGTCCAGGAACTAAGAGCCCACTATGCTGCCGGGCAACCAAGCCCATGTGCCACAACTACAGAGTCCATACCCTAGAGCTCATGAGCTACAACTACTGAAGCCCACACCTCCCAGAGTCTGTGCTCTGCAAGAGGAGAAGCCACCCACAATGAGAAGACTGTGCACTGCAAGGAAGAGTAGGCCCCGGGTGCAGCAACTAGAGAAAGCCCACGCAGCAGTGAAGGGCCTGAACGCCACAACAAAGAGCCAGTGCAGCCAAAAATCAATCAATCAATCAATAGAACGGGGCTGTGCTCTCCGGTCTGCCAGACTCCACTGGCTTGATTGGCCCCAAAGGCATTTGAGCTTGCAGCCTCTGACATACACTCTCTTGTTTAGTTCTTGCAAGGAGCTCTAAGAAGTAAATTGATGCTCTGTGGATGAGAAAACTGAGGTGAGGCTCCCAGATGTTGAGTACCTTCCCGGCATCGGGACAGGACACTGTCTGTGGTCTCTCCAGCTGGTGCTGCTTCTGCTCTGCCCACTACTGCTGCAGTTATGACAAGGGACCCATGTAACTCCATGCTTCTAGGATTTAAGCATTTTTGGTCTGCATCTCACAATTCTAGAGTCACTCTGAAAAATCTAGAAATAATGTATTACTAGCTCACTGTGTGATCTGTGCAAGGCCAGAGATTTTTGCCAGAAAAAACAATGAGCAGTTGGAGATGTCCTCTAAGTTGACCTCCAGCCCTAACAGACAGTGGAGATAAGTGCAGTGGAGATAAGACTGCACTTTCAAAGGCTCCACATGAGGCAAAAGATGACAACAAGTTCCTTACTTACATTTTGGTGATGAGGCAGAGCCAAGGACTCTCAAGGGTTTATTTTCCTAAAAAAGTAAGGTCTGGTCTGAACTGCCAAGCCCCATCACTCTGTTCTGTACCCCCAGTTCTCTACCAGACTTCTTCTCTCATAACGTGCCCTTAGAGGGACTGCGGCCTGTTCTATCTCAAAAAGTTATCAAGTCTAAGACAGTATAAACTGTAAGACAAATCTTTATCTTAGCTGGCTCTAACAAAAGAAAGATGGAACCATGCCTTAATGATAGGCATTCATATTTTATGAGTCCAGTCACACCAACTTTTCTTTGCTTTAAAATTTCTTTTCTTCACCCTCAGAAATTGGGCCATGTGCCTAACCTTCATCTTCATTTCTTAGCATAATATTGGTGACCTTTACACATCATCTTAGTGACAAGGTCTATTATAGCATCATTTACTTAGGTGTCCTATAGCACTTGTTTTTGCTTTGCAAAATATGAGATTGTGGTCATTCTTCCTCTAATGAATATCTATTTCACTAATATAAAATTTATGTCCCACCGCTCTGTTTCCTTGCTTTTCTGTACAGATAACTTTTCGTTTCAATGCCAAATCATAGCATTATCATGAAAAGCCTTATTGAGGTAAAATGCGGCATACGATACACTGCACATGCTTAAAAGGTACCATTTGATAAGTTTGACATAATGTATACAACTGTGAGGGCTTCACTAACAGATGTATCTGCTCAATGGTAAAGAATCTGCCTGTGATACAGGAGACCGGGGTTCAGTCTCCTGGATTGGGAAGATCCCCTGGAGCGGGGAATGGCAACCCACTCCAGTATTCTTGCCTGGAGAATCCCATGGACAAGAGGAGCCTGGCTGGTTACGGTCCATGGGGTTCACAAAGAGTCAGACATGACTGAAGTGACTATGCAGCAGCAGCAGCATACATCTGTGAAACCATCATCACAAACAAGGTATTAATAATAAAACTACCTACCCCAAAGTTTCTCCTGCCCCTAGGTAATCTCTGCCTCTCAACCATCCTGTTCCTCTACCACCTTGTACAGGCAACCAATAACCTGCTTTCTGTTAGTATAGAGCAGTTTGCCTTTTCTAGAACTTTATATAAATGGAATCATACAGCAGATATTGTTTTTTTGCCCAGCTTCTTTCACTCGAAGTTATCGTGGATTCATCATTGGTGCACTGACACATTCATTCCTTTAAAAATAGTTTTACTGTGATGTTATTTACATGCCATAAAATTCACCTGATTTATTATAGAATTCAGTGATTTTAAGTATACTTACAGACTTGCGCAAACTTCACCAAAATCTAATTGTAGAACATTTTCATCACCCCCAAAAGAAACCTTATGCCCATTTATAGTCACTGCCATTTCCACCCAGCCCTAGGCAACTGCTAGTCTACTTTTTCCTCTATAGGTTTGCCTTTTCTTGACATTTCTTATAAGTGGATTAATATAGTATGTGGTCTTCTGTCTGGCTTCTTTGGCTTAGCATGTTTTCAGGGTTCCTGTATGTTGAAACATGTATCAATGTTTCATTCCTTTTTATAGCTGAAAAGCATTCTAATTTATGGAAATAGCATTTAGATTATTTCTACCTTTGGCTATTAGGAATAATGCTGCTACAAACATTTTCATGCAAGTTTCTGTGTGAACATATATTTTCATTTCTCTTGAGTATAAAGCTAGGAATGAAATTTCTGGGTCACATAGTAACACTATACTTAACATTCTGAGAAAACTGCCAAACTGTTTTCCAAAGCTACTGTACCATTTTATTAATACCTTCCCTTTAGCAATGAACAAAGTTTCCAGATGGGGGCCTCCTGCCAACAGACATGCTGAGCTGAGCTGTCTTTGATGTGGCCCTGCAGTCCTCAAGGCTTCAGATATCACAGCCATCCAACAGCTTTACTGGACTCAGGACAGACCTTGAGCCAGGAGAGAGCCTAGCTGAGCTGCCCCTCAGAAACAGATAATATGGGAGTTCCCTGGTGGTCCAGGGGTTTGGACTTGGCTCTTTCACTCCCACGGCCCAGTCTCAATACCTGGTCAGGAAACTAAGATCATGCAAGCCAGGCATGTGGCACAGCGTCCCACCCCCGCAAACAAAAAGGAAAGAAAGAAGCAGATGATAAATGTTTGTTGTTTTAAGCTACTAAGGTGTAGGGAATTTGTTGCACAGCCTAAGATTACTAATATATGGGGAATGGCTAAGGGGTGGAGGGCAGGGGACAACCTGGCTCGGGGTGGGGGTGCCTCCCACTGCTCCTCCCCTGCGTAACCGCGGGGCATCCACAGGAACCCCCAGAGACGTCTCTTTAGGGCAGTCATCCAGCCTGGGTCCCTTAGACCAGGAGCAGACAGTGAGGACAGAGGGATGGCGGTCTTGCTGGGAGGCTGTTAGGGAGGAGCGGAGCAGCCGTGCCCTCGACCACCCCTGAGGACAAATTTCAGCCATTCCTCAGAGGAAGCAGCTCCTGGGGTGACATGATGACTAGTGCTGGGCCCCTCTCTGCTGCCAGACCCGCAGGACGGGTGGGGGAAGGGGCTTCAGTCACCCGCAGTCTCCTCACAAGACACTTGGAGGGAGAGTTTCTTCAGAGGCAAATCGCATCTGCCCTGGGTGAGCCCTCGCGTGTCTCCCCTGGGCTCTGGCAGCAGGGATCACACACTATGCACCCAGCCTCCCCTGTGGCTCCTGGAAGGAACCCAGAATTGTTGGAACCCAGAAGCCTTGGAGAGCATCCCTCAGTCAAAGCCCCTGGTTGTGCAGGGGAGGAAAGGGCAGCTCATGGGCAGTCTTTTACATTGTCTTCATCATTTCCACATTTTATCCCTTTCTACTGGATCCACTGGCCATGGGCTCCATAGTACTAACAGTCTTGGGTACTAAGTCTTAGTACCCAGGTGGCAGCACTGAGGGGACCCCAGAATCAGGGTTGGGCAGGTCACAGCAGTGAATGAATGAGAGGCCCATCACCTGGGGTAGGAGCAGAAGTTTTGGAGTCAGTCAGACCTGAGTGCGGTTTTGATTTTGTCCCACACTTACTGGCTCAGTGATCTTGGGTAAGCAACTTAACTTCTCTGAGCATCAGTTTCCTTCTAAAACAGGAATACTACAGCCTGTTTTGCAGAATTGGTATGAAGATTAGCAAAAATGCATACCATTTATAATGCCTAGGAGCTCACCTAGAGGAGAACATAGGCAAAACACTATCCAACATAAATCACAGCAGGATCCTCTATGACCCACCTCCCAGAATATTGGAAATAAAAGCAAAAATAAACAAATGGGACCTAAGTAAACTTAAAAGCTTTTGCACAACAAAGGAAACTATACTCAAGGTGAAAAGACAGCCTTCAGAATGGAAGAAAATAATAGCAAACGAAGCAATAGACAAAGGATTAATCTGAAAAATATACAAGCAACTCCTGCAGCTGAATTCCAGAAAAATAAATGACCCAATCACTCCTGAAGCTGAATTCCAGAAAAATAAGTGACCCAATCACTCCTGCAGCTGAATTCCAGAAAAATAAATGACCCAATAAAAAAATGGGCCAAAGAACTAAACAGACATTTCTCCAAGGAAGACATACAGATGGCTAACAAACACATGAAAAGATGCTCAACATCACTCATTATCAGAGAAATGCAAATCAAAACCACAATGAGGTACCATTACATGCCAGTCAGGATGGCTGCTATCCAAAAGTCTACAAGCAATAAATGCTGGAGAGGGTGTGGAGACAAGGGAACCCTCTTACGCTTTTGGTGGGAATGCAAACTAGTATAGCCACTATGGAGAACAATGTGGAGATTCCTTAAAAAACTGGAAATAGAACTGCCATATGACCCAGCAATCCCATTCCTGGGCACATACACCAAGGAAACAGATCTGAAAGAGACACGTGCACCCCTATGTTCATCGCAGCACTGTTTACAATTGCCAGGACATGGAAGCAACCTAGATGCCCATCAGCAGATGAATGGATAAGAAAGCTGTGGTACATATACACTATGGAATATTACTCAGTCATTAAAAAGAATTCATTTGAATCAGTTCTAATGAGATGGATGAAACTGGAGCCCATTATACAGAGTGAAGTAAGCCAGAAAGATAAAGACCAATACAGTATACTAACGCATATATATGGAATTTAAAAAGATGGTAATGATAACCCTATATGCAAAACAGAAAAAGAGACACAGATGTACAGAACAGACTTTTGGACTCTGTGGGAGAAGGCGAGGGTGGGATGTTCTGAGAGAATAGCATTGAAACAAGTATACTATCAAAGGTGAAACAGATCACCAGCCCAGGTTGGATGCATGAGACAAGTGCTCAGGGCTGGTGCACTGGGGAGACCCAGAGAGATGGGATGGAGATGGAGGTGGGAGGGGGGATCACGATGGGGAACACATGTAAATCCATGGCTGATTTATGTCAATGTATGGCAAAAACCACTACAATATTGTAAAGTAATTAGCATCCAACTAACAAAAATAAATGAGAAAAAAAGAAAATAAATAAATAAATAAAATATTCCTTTTGCA